ATTTTAGTTCAATTTTTAAACCGTGAGCGTATGAGTAATTTTCTGAAGAGGACCTTTATATGCGTCAATTATGAACCAATAAAATTTTGTACATAGATTTCGTTTGTATAGAACTTGTTTATGCCAATTTTCAGCGCAATACTCGTATTTTAAATAAGGAAAACTCGTATTTTAATAACCAAAACACTTACATGAAGGCAACCGTTTATAGGGGCTAGGGTCAGTTATAGATCAGTCCTATTAAATTTGGAATGAAGAATTATGTTCCTAAGTATAAACTTTTTTATGTCGGTTTTCATCGCTGTACTAGTAATTTTCTGAACTTTCATCATAAAATTTTCTAAAGAGGATCTTATATGAGGGGTATGGTAAATTGTTGACCTATCCTTATAACTTTTTGTAGATCGATTTTGGTTTATATAAAACTCGTTTACATTGAATATCATCGCTGTACTCGCTTTTTTATGCCAGTAATCAGCGTTAATGTAATATTATAAAGGGGGCTTATATGGGGTAGGGTGAATTACCGACACATTCCGCATGAAATTCGGAGCGAATTTCATAACCGTATTTCATAACTCATATTATTAAGCCAGTAATGATTGTTTAAGTAATTTTCTGAAGCGGATTTTGGACAGTAATGAGTGTTAAAGTAATTTTCTGAAGGGGAGTACCTTATATGGGGGGTAGGATCATTTATGGGCCGATCCTAAAAAAATATGTAGAGAGGTTTAGGTTTGTAAGAAACTTACTAATACCGAATTTCATCGCTATATTCGCATTTTTGGGCCAGTAATGAATGTTAAAGCCATTTTCTAAAGGGGACCTTATATGGGGGGTAGGGTCATTTATCGGCCGATCCTAAAAAAATTGGTAGAGAGGCTTTGGTTCGTAAGAAACTTACTTAAACAGAATTTCATCGCTATACTCGCATTTTTGGGACAGTAATGAGTGTTAAAGTCATTTTCTAAAGGGGACCTTATATGGAGGGTAGGGTCAATTTTGGACCGATCCTCAAAAAAATTAGTAGAAAGATTTTGGCTCATATTAAACTTAGTTAAGTCGAATTTCATCGCTATACTCGTACTTCTAAAGCAGTTATGCCCGTTAAAACTGTTTTTTGGAGGTCCATTTGTATGGGGGATATCCGAAAAAGTGGACCGATATTGCCCATTTTCAATGCCAAACAAACCTTAGCAATAAAGAATATTTATGCAAAATTTCAACTGTCTAGCTCCTCTCGTGTGGTCCCTATCGTGATTTCAACAGACAGACGGACGGACGGACATGGCTAGATCGTCTTAGAATTTAATAAGGACCCGGAATATATATACTTTTATGGGTCTATGACCAATATTTCGATGTGTTACAAACGGAATGACAAAATCAATATACCCCCCATCTTTTTTGATGATGGGTATAAAAAAATGAATAAAGCATTCATTATACTTGATTTTTTAAATACATAATTGTTTTCATTCCAAAAATTGATAACATAGAAAGGAAAATAGTTTTTTTCACAATAGGTTCCATCTTCGCTCTGAGGGTTATATAGTCACGGTTTTAGGGCTTCATTATCTCGAATTTAGTACTACATACATATACTTATATACACGGGCGAATATGTCAAACCGTTCTAGAGATATGGATCGGTAAAATCGACAAACTGCCAAAAAATCGAGATTTTAAAACTTTGAGGCTCCAGTGGCACGTGTCAACATCTTTCAATCGAGCTCAAACTTTGGCAATCTTAAAATCTAACAAAATGAAACATTTTAGGGATTGTGAACCGATCCTTTTCAAATTTAGAAGACGGAATTCATTTACATCGATTTTGGTAGAATTTCGACGCTATACTCGTATTTTTAAGTCAGTGATGAGAGTTAGTCATTTTCTGAAAGGTAGCATAAAACACGTTTATGTCGATTTTCATCGCTGTACTTTTTTTAAGCTAGTAGTGAGCATTAGTCATTTAAAATTTGCTTATATCGAATTTCATCATTATATTCGTATTTTTAAGCCAGTAATAAGTTCTTGAATAATTTTTGCATGGTACCTTATATGGGGGATGGGGTCAATTATGAAGCGATCCTCATAAAATTTGGTAGAGGGATTTTCGTTCCCATTAAACTGGTTTATGTCGAATTTCATTGATGTACTCATATTTTTAACCGAGTTGTAAGCGTTAAAGTCATTTTCTGAAGGGGACAGTTAGGGGTAGGGGCAGTTAAGGACCTATCATAAAATTTTGTAGAGAGATTTCGATTCATATGAAACATAATTTACTTGAGTCTCATTCGTTAACTTTTTATATTATTCTCATATTTTACTAGAAATATATTCGAACAAACCCATTAATTTGGGACCAAAGTTAATAATATCGGATAAGTATTTTAGAAAATATTTGATACTGAACTTTTCGAATGAAAGTATAAACAATATGAATTTTATTATCGATAAAATCTAGTCCATAACGAAATTGAAAATTTTGAAAAACTTAATGTAAAATGTGTATATCGTTGAATCCTAAGAGCATAGAAAAATAAATAGAACTGAGACTGAGTGAATTTAATACACTTGTCTGAGTATTTTTATTTTTGTTTACATAAAATAACAAAAATATGAAAGTACAAAACGTATCCGAATACATCACACCCTACCACATTGCGAGTAAGTAGCAATAAGTTATTTGGTAATTTTTAATGTAGAAGTTATATTCAGGAGATTGACGTTTGCTTAATAACAATATATAGTCAAAATTTCGTATATATAAAATTTGTTAAGTCGAATTTTATAAAATACCTGTTCTTGTATAGTCTGTACCGCTTACAAAAAAGTTCAATAGGCTAATTTATGGACGGATTACATCATTACATCGACGCAGGTGTTACAAACTTCAAGACAAACAAAATGCCGTTCCCATTAGTGTGGTGTAGGGTGTATTTTGACTGGATTTGGGCTGCTTTGAAATTAACAATAATCGTTCATATCAAGCGTTAATTTTAGCATTAGCACAATTCCTTTGGCAAAATAGCCCCTGCTGCTGCAATAAACATTGATAAAAGTTATGTTTTTCCCAAAAATTATTGAAAATATTGGCTCAACCCATAAAACACAAAGAGTTTATTTAAAATTAAGAACAATTTTTAATGAAGATCTTTCTTACATTGGTCAACTGATATTGAATAAAAGTGGCTAATTCAAACCATTATTTCATAAAATATCGAAATATAATATCAAACAAAAATATAAAAACTTTTTAAACGATAGAGTTTGTGTTTGTTAAGTTATATATTTTTCAACTAATACATTTTCACGACTTAGGTCTTTGACAGCAGACTTAGGTTTTGTCATACTCAGTTTCAGTTCTATGTATACCTTTTCTATGCCTAAGAGGGTCATGTTCGAAATTAGTCTTTTTTGTTCATTTTTTTTAAATTACCATTATACATATTCTATAATTCGTGTTTTAACCTGTTATCGTTATCCAATCAGTCTAATATTTTGCATGACATAGTTTTACAACCCAATATATAATTCTAGAGGGCGACGAGCAAAATTCGCAACTTCATTTTTGAAGAACTCTATTGAACAGTCATGAACGTTAAAGTCTTTTTCTGACGGGTACCTTATACGGAGGCTAATGATATTGTGGTCCAATGATTGAAATTCTTGAAATTTCTGGGTACATAAAACTTTTGCAAAATTCTATTTACGATTGTTGCATAATTAACATATTTATGGCTGTTGTATCTGTATTTCGGGGGTCACTTCTATGGTAAAAATGAAGGACTGACTTGTCAGTTTTTATGCCAAAAATTTTTAGGGAAACTATGGGGATTTCAATTTAAAATTGGGGTTTTTTGGGACTTCCTGCTTAAGATTTGACACATGGATCAAAATTTTTCTGATAACACTGATTTCTATACTACTTTTAATTCCCAAATTTTGAAACATTTTACATTTCGTTAACTCTTTATTAATAAAATTAAGCCCGTTTTTAATCTCTCAGAACAAATTAAATCGTAAAATATAGAAACATTGTTCGCAAAAATATGTTGATCGTATCGTAATCTTCAAATGAGCAAAAAACGATTCGGCTCGAAAATTTCTAAAAAATATTTTATAGACAATGAGCAAGTTTTTAAGGATAGTAAATATGGCTTAAAACAGTTAAAACCTCGTTTTTTGTTTTTAAGTACTCTTGAACCTATGCACACTTTTAGTGGAAACCAATTCAGTTGTGTAAAGCTATTTTCTTATTAAACATTACTGAACAGCAAGAAGTGAAACATTGACATTGTTTTATAACAATAACATTACGCTCTTCTCACAGACGAGTTCTGTGTAAATCCAACAAACTTCTAATAATTTTACTCTCTCACAAAACATTTATATTTTTCAGAAAAAAAAAAAATAGAGGAAAATATCAATTTAAAGTATTTTTATCACTTAACATTATATACTATAATTTTTTTGCACACTTACAAACGAATAAAATACTATTTTTGACATTAAATTTTTGTGGGCTGAAAACTGAAAAAACAATGTTGTAAATTTTCGTATGGTAAATGAAAACAATATTTTAAATTAATAATTTATATTTTCAGTATTGCTTATTAAAAAGCAAACATACGTTTATAGAAAAAAATGTGCAAAATATTTGAAATCTTTTAAAAAATAAATTTAATTGTAATAAAATTTTCTCAATACATATCCTTTTTTTGCAACTATGTGGGCTTGAAAATTCTACTAATACATTCTTAGAGTTAGGTACCGATTGACAGTAGACGTAGGTACATTTTGACTTCTTACTTCTTGTTTTGCAGTGTTAAACATTTCGAAATTTTACAAGAATACAAGCTGTCGACTAATGTTTGTCAAAGTTTAATTACTTTTTATTTAAACATAACATACAAATAAACTATGTGCTACATCTTTAAATTAAAATGTATTTGTTTATTGAAAAATACAGGAAACAAAAATAAATTAATACTGACCATCTTTAACTCCGCACGTAAAATCGAAAGCAATTGCGGCAAATGAAAATGTAAGCAATAAAAACGCCATCTTTCATTTACTTTGGAGTTTTCTTTTATATGTAAATATAATGTTCGCACTCCTTTTGTATATGTTTACATCTACACTGAATTACATGTATGTAGTTTACATGTACGTTGAACATACAACTACTAAAGTATGTGTAACAAAAGTGCACACTCCCTACTCAGAATAATCTCACACACGTACATATATAATAAAATTATTAAATTTTCTTAATATATACCGTTTTATTATTTCACTATTCAATGTGTATTCATATTTGATTTTTTATAGATATATATGTGTATTCTTATTTTATTGTAATATTTTCTTTAACTACACATATCAATATTAATAAAATATATGTATTTAATATATGTTATTTTTATTTACATATACATATATGTATATTCATATTTAGTTTATGGCAAAAATCCTCCATTGCACAAATAATTACTGTTTTTAAAAAAATTTTATATTTTTGTTGGAAATTTGTAAATAAGCGAATGTCTGAATATCTATAAATTATGTAGTTAATATGTGTGCCCAAAATATTTTCACTTTTGGCTATACATCCATGAAAGAAAAATAAGGAGGAATAATGTGTACACACCGTTGTAACACATACGAGTAGTTTTTTCACGTTCCGAATCAAACTGAAGACGTTCTTAGCATCTGCATAGGTTGTACCTGTTTTATTTTGACAGTATTTAAAATGTCATGCGCACAGAGAGTGCGAATTAACTATAAAGCTATGGAAGTTCAATGTGTATGTATCTACCACTAACATGGAAAATAATACAAAATGGATTTATAACATTCGTTTGTATTTGGTCTTCAGTGAAAAATACAACTTTAGCATATTGTTGCCAGATAAATTTGGTACGAAATCGTCATAATTGAACCAAAAAATGTTTGAAATCGGCATAGTTTCTAAGTTTCACCGCAATTGACAGCTGTGGATGACAAGCGGAGTTGCCATTTCAGCTTTTGACTTTTTCTAGCCTTGGCTATAATTCTGATTACAATATTACGAGTCTATAATATGAATATTTAAAAAATCAACTATTTATTATAGAAAACATTTGATTATTAGTCCTACTCAAGGTTGACAACCGAAACGAATAACGGAGTCGGTATAATTTTTTATTATTTCGGTATCGGTAATCGTACTTAGATTATTACGGTATCGGTATACCAGTATAAACGTAATATATAAATTTATAATCAATAAAAGAATTTTAAAACTTACAAAATTTTATAAGAAAAGAATTAAGAGTGTTGTTTTCGCCAAATCTTATAGTACGTCACAAATCATCTAATATACCATAAGTATGTAGGTCTAATATAGAGTCCCACAATAGAAATATCCTCACAAAATTTGGAAAAGTACTTAAAATTTATGAGTGCCTCTTTTGAATTTCCAAATAGTGCCCTCCATTGGGGATTAATATTAGTTAGTTTGAAAGGAGGATGTATATTAGGTATTCAAACAATTATCGATCATCGATCGGTTAATCGATAAATTTTTGACGATTAATCTTTCGAATAAAAGAAAACTGCCCAGATTTCAAATAACGAATAAACCGAATAATTTCTAACAATTAACCGATTAAGAAAAACTTACTATTTAACGCAAAATTTTATGTATATTTCATAAAACATTCAATATTTATACCTTACACCACTTTAGTGTATATTGGGTTTGTGCTGATGTTTGTAGCGCACAATAATATTGGCCCTATACCAAACTCAATTTAGCTATTTAGCTAATTTTGCTAATTTTATTTGACAAAAAATGGCTAAAGTATATCTGAGACAAGGAACAATTCAACTTAAATGCTTTATTATAGTGCTGGGCCAATGCACGCGGCGTGCGGCTTCAAGCGTCAGCAGCATTACCAGCTTTAATAAAATATGAATATTTTGATTTGGCAATGATGAGCGACGCGGCAAAGTTGAATAAAGTTCAACTTTTCCGCACGGCCGCTTGAAAATCAATTGTCATACAAAATTTTTTATTTTAACATTTTTAAAACCAACAAAAAGGAAAAAAAATTAAAACAAAAAACATTTAAATAACAAATAAAAAAATTCTATTGGAATTAATTGGTGTTATTTTGAAATTGCAAAGTGATTCATTTATATGATTTTGTGTTCAACTGATTCCGCGTGCATTGGCCCTTCACCAAAATTTTCAAGCGGTAAGCCGAGCAGCTAATTGCCGCGTACATTGGCCCTGTACCTTTATGAACACTTAATTATATTTTATTTTTATAACTGGTGTAGGGTATTATATGGTCGGCCTCGCCCGACTATAACTTCTTACTTGTTTTATAATAAATTTTCTTCTTTTATTTATTCCTTAATTATTTTTCTACAATGAAGAGAATTTATTTGATGTTTTTATAACAATACTTCAGAAACATTAGGAATTTGTTATGATTTACCTACTTCTACAATGGGTTAATACAGAAACACTTCAGATTCTTGAAAATCAATCTTGGAAATAATGATATCGCCTTTACTTCTACAACCAGTTTTGAAGAACATTGTTGTGTTTTCTAAGTATTTCAATAAGTTCTTTAGCAAAAGTTATACTAGCCCATTGGAACGTATGGATTCTGAAACTTGTTGAAAAATCTCAAAAACATAAAATTAATTAAATTAATTTCTTTATATAGAAAAGGATTTCACATGAAAAAAATTGTAATATTTGAAAAAAAATTAATTAAAAAATTACATAGAATTTATTTCAAAGAAGTGAAAAATTATAATTTTGTTTGTTAAAGGAAGTAAAATATTGTAAAAAAAAAACAATAAAATTAATAAAAAACATTAAATTTTTCTTTTTTCGATTAACCGAATAATTTCGAATTATCCGATTAACCGGCTAAAATTAAACCTCAAATAATTATTTGTCAATTAAACCGAATAAGATTAAAACCCAAATAATTGAATGCCCTAATTTATATACGTCAAATGCGAAGAAATACACCTACACCCATTTTCTCATTGTCTGATTATGTTTTATCATAACGATAAATTGACATTTTACATACAAAAATTATTTTAACCGGCAGTATATCCACCTGTTAAACGATAACCGGAGGTTGAGATATTGGCCCCTAGGCTTCTATCGAACCAGACTGGAACACAAACCTACCGGAAGTCACCCAGAGATTAATTTACTTAATACTTACTATTATGGTCAATTATGAACAACGTGACCAGACATGCCGCCAAATGCGGGATTATCCCGCATTTTATACCCTACACCACTTTAGTGGGGAGGGTATATTGGATTTGTGCTGATGTTTGTAACATACAAAAATATTCGTCCTAGACCATAAATCGGGCCCCATTTGACCCTAGCTCCCATACAAAGTCCCCTTCAGAAAATTACTTGAATGTCCCAAATTAACTTATAAACACAAATATCGCGATGAAATTCAGCACAATAAAATATTATGTAAATATAAATATATTCAAAAAATTTTATCGGGCTTGGTCCATATTTGCCCCTAGCCCCCATATAAAGCCTCTTTCAGAAAATTAGTTTTTCATCCATAAATTGCTTAAATGTATCGGAATACGGGAATATTGAAGATAAATGCTTTATTATGAAAAATTTTTAATTTAATATTCATAACTGGTGTAGGGTATCATATGGTCGGCCACGCCCGACTATACTTTCTTACTTGTTAATGGTTGAACCCGACTGAGATTTCCATCTCGCTTTAAAAAAAATCAGTTTTTTTACATGACAGGTCATTCATCCTTTATTTTATTGTAATCAATTTGGGAATAATTATTTAAAAGTTTAACATTTTAATTTTAAATTTGAAAATTTTGGTAGAAAATAGAGATTCGAAAGAAATATTCTAGTATTTTTTAATAACTTTTCAAAATGTGGGTAAATATTAACATGAGGATTATAAGTTTTTTGTGCGGCAAAATACCACAGCACTACCTTATTGCCAATACTGTCCTGATAATGAAGGCTACACAGTGGTATAGGAAAAAAAAGAGGGAAATAATTCGGTAACTTCTAAACGGTTAATCCGATTTTAATGAAGTGACCTATAGGGGTAAAAATCATTACAGTTTAAAAAATAATACCTGAAAATTTTTTAATATATGTAACAAATTTAAGAGTTAACCTTATGGATGAAAATAATAGTACTAGGTAAATTTTCTAAAAGATGTTGAGTTTTCCCTAATTAATTTGTCACTTAAAAAACATTAGGTAGGCATGTTATATATCAATGGAAAGGTAATTTTGTCTATTTTTCAAAACTGTATATAATTTTTGAAAATTAAAAAATTCGCGGAATACTTTTTTTAAAAAAAATTAAAAAATGTTTTTTTATTCAGTTTTTGCGAAGATACAAATTTTTCAAATTGCAATAAAATTTTATTTATGAATATTTTTTGATGAAATTTTACAGTTAGGTAGATTTTTTTACTCAAAATCCAAAATTAAATAAAAATTTCGAATTTTCTTATTAGAAATCCCGGAATTCCCAAAAAAGTTTTAAAAAATCCCAAAAATGGGATTTTTTGTTTTTTTGCCTATTATATCCATACCAGGGGCGGGGTTATCGAAACCCGTTACAAAATGATTAAGAACATATTGGGTCATATAAAACAGGTCACTATAATTTGATATCGACTATGCGATTTGAGAATTTTTGCTCAAAATTGAATTTTCCATAAAAATAGGGTTTTTTTGGATGGACCTGGTCCCCTCGGTATCAAAAATTTTTAGGTTTTGTTTCATTTATCGTATTTTATGTAAAGTCAGCTTTCCAAAAAGTATAAATTCTATATACATCTTTTTAGAAACTTTTTAGATAACTTAAAAAGAAAAAGATACTTTTTTCCCAAAAAAATGGCAGAAAATCGCCTTTTTTTAATTTTTTAAATTAAAATGCCTATAACTTTGGACTCAGTCATGATTTTTACATAATTCTTTCACTGCTTGATATATAAACTTGTTGTTAAGCGAATAAAAAAAAATGGTGAAAATCGGGAATATTTGGACCCGCTATTATCAAAAAACTAAAGTAAGGACGGTAAAAATTTTAATTTTCAAATGCGAATATCTCCTAAACTATAAGAGATAATTTACTTTTTTAAATCGGAACTCAAATGAAGAAATAGGATCGTTTTAAAAATTTAACATAGCCGAGGTGTCCTAATTTGAGGACCCCCCGCCGGGCCCCTGGTTGGCCTATAAGGTCCAAATTCAAAACCTAAACTCGACAACACCTCCTCTTTTTGCATACCAAATTTCATTAAAATCGGATTAACCGTTTAGAAGTTACCGAATTATTTCCCTCTTTTTTTTTCCTATACCACTGTGGGCTATTTATACACTACACCACTTTAGTGGGGAGGGTATATTGTGTTTGTGCTGTAACGTTTGTGTTTGTAACGCGAAATTATATTGGTCCTATACCTTTAAGCTGCATGGCCACACGTCAACATTTGGTCAAAACTTGTTTATGTGTTAGTAATTTATTCCTGCAATCATTGAGGAAGAAGAAGCATAAATTTCATTTTTATTTAGATTTTGCGACGCAACATAACTTTTGTATATTTCAGTAAATATATTAAGTTTATAGTGATCAGTTGTGTGAATA